AAAAAAAAGTAAGAAACAGGGTTTCCTACATAATGTCCTACATAACTCATCAGGTTCTCAAAGATTTTGTGAGCCCAGTAAATAACCATCATTCTAAAAAGCACTTTGGGGTTTTTGAATACATCTAGTATTTAAAAGGAAGGAAATTATTTTCCAAAAAGTTCAACTAAGTATCTGGGCGGGGTTGTTCAATACTCAATGAAGCTACCCAAGATTAGAGAAAATTTTGATTTCAGTTTTGTAACTTTTTGGTGAGGTTTTCTGAAAATGTTGTTTTCCCCTCAGTTTTGATTTTGAATAATCTCAAGCTGCACAAAACATATTAGAGGCAAAAAACTTTATACAAGAAAAATTAATACTTTGGTTAACTGTTAATCCTGGGTTAGTGTAAATCAGCTTTTGAACAACCTGGCCTTGGGCATTTTATAATCTGTTATTCCCTTTAAAAATGAGTTACTCTGTACTAATTCTTTCCTATATCTGTTTGTTTTAGGGTGGCAGATTTTATTTCCTTGAACATGTTGCAGGTTAGTGTGAATTCACATTGAACTTTGTTTTTCAATGCTGGATTTGAAAAGAAGCTGTTTCATGGTTTAACTTTTTTTCTGCAACAAAATTTTGACCAATGGTTATAAGTGAAAGTCTTACTGTGAATCTAGGGAAGGCACCCAGTGAGTCTCTCCCTCCTCCCCNCCCCCCCCCCTTCAACCCCATGTACTGGCAAAAATACTTTACACCTGGAGGGCCTAAAGTTCTTGGGTTTCCACATTTGAGGTGCAAGGAGCCTGAAATTTTCCCCCCGCCCCAACTCCAAGAGATCTGTATCTGCCACTGACTTGTACCTTGTGCAGCAAAGGTATTAAGGATCAGGTCCTAATGAACATACTTGTTATTTTCTTCCCATATTAATGAAAGTGCCCGTTTGTCATTCCCTTTGATTAAATTAGTCACTGGTTTACTTATTTTACGACAGGACATCCATGGACTGTAAAGTACTTGCTTCAACACTTTGTCTCAAAGTCTCTTCTGTGGCCCTCCTTGTATGATGGTTGCCACTGTGACCGAAAAACTCTACCTTATATAGAGCAAGGTGGCTTCAAAATGGTGCAGTCCAAAAAAGTGTGGGCAAACTGCTCGCCTAGTATGTATTCTGAGTGTAAGGACACGTTCTCAGTTTGGCACACAAAAATTTTATTGTACTTTGTTGATTTCATCCTTGTTGGTTTTGCAGAAAAGGAACAATAGGCCTTTTACAACACTTGGTCATGACGGACAATTTATAAACCAATAACTATAGCTAAAGGAATTTAAGAATCGGAAAAAGGCATGTTTTAAATAGCCAGAAAACCTATTTCAGACCAATGCTGTGTGAGGTTGAAACTTATTGATGCTTTGAGTATTGCAAACATTAGAATGATTTGTGTGAAAGTGATCGAGGAGGCTTTGCCCTCCACAAACTTTTTCTGTTATTTTAAAATCACCGGAAGCTGCTGGGATAAAACTATTGGAGATAGAAATAGGAGTTATGAAGTAGGAAGAATGGAAATTCTGGACTCTTTAAGTGAAAGACAAAGATTTTCTGGCGGTTTGGAAACTTGCAAGATCACAAGGATTTGTACAGAAAATCACTGGAGTGTGACTGGACTGTGACTGGAGTGCAAAGCGTCTTCTTCCCTTAAAAATCCTTCTTCTAATGTCCATAAAATTCCCTCTTAAAGGATATAAACCTGAAAATATGCATGTAAGCTTATTTGTAAATGTTCTTTCTATTTCTGATGACATCATGCACTACCAATGACAAAATCACTGTGTTTTTTAAAAGCAAGACTCGTGACCAATTGTTGCAAAGGCGTGGCTAGCCGTATTAGAGAAGGCTACACGATCCGATGGTAGAGCACGGACGTGCGGAGGTTTGTAGCATATAACTTTCTTCCAATAAAATTTGACTTCGAAATGCCAGAAATAGAGCATATTGTACCCTGATCGCTGCCAAGATCTGCAGGGAACGGCAAACGCGGTGTAACTTTAATTGCATGATGTTACTAATTGTCACTGCTCTCGACTTAGAAGTTAATCTTGTTAATAATTGTGACCAGCTGCACGTACATTATATTTCTCGATGACGTCATCAGTGACGCCATTCACCCGTAGGTTACTGTCGACTGCATGAATCCGCCTTCGCCTGTTAGCACAAACATTTTTAACTCCCATTCTGTAATTCGAACTCTGAAAAGCATAAACCACGGGGTTTAAAGAGCAGCTGCAATACACTAAGAAATATGACACTTTGTAGGACAGCGAGTGGGGTGAAACACTCATTGCCGATATCGAAGCGAACGGAACAAAACATGCTATAAATAGCACCGTCACTGTTATTAAAAGTTTCACAATCTTCCTCTTGTTGTGAATGTCTTGCTCGTTTGTTTTCTCTCCCTGGTTGGTGCCAGAGGGTAGAATATTCTCACATAAGATACCTTTGACAATGCGGAAATAACTCACCGACATAACAAGCCACGAAAGCACCGTCAATGCGGCCAGCAGACCCCAGTAAACCTTCGAAGCCGACGCTTTCCAATCCATGTGGCAACTTTGAACTTCGTCCACGTACTTTTGCTGTACAAAAAGAGGCAGTACAAAGCTAATAGAGAACGTCCAAATTAGGCCTACAGCGATGTAAACTTGTTTCTTCCGGAGTCGCAGTGTTTCTTGCATTGGACGCAGGAGAGCATTGTGTCTTTCGATGGAGATAAGTGTCAAACTAATGCCAGAAACCAGCAATGTAACTCCCGGAACATGGTGCATTGTAACAAATTTGCAAAGGAAGTTTCCTAGAGCCCCACTCGGGTGATGTTCAACAGCAAATTGTAATATGACACCAGGAATGCAGAAAATAAGAGTTATGGTATCGGCTACTGCGATATTTGCCAGTAAGAAGTTTGTTGTTGTGTGCATGCTGCGTGCTCGTTTAACCACCGTGATGAAGAGAAAATTTCCGGGAATGCCCGCCAACACTACGATGGCATAAAAAGTTAAAAGCACAATGTCGATCTGATGTGCTTCCATACCAGTCGCAAATATGATATAACTCGCTTTGCTCCTTCGCGTGTGTGTCTTTCTTCGTGCAGAACCGCTACAAAATGAACAAATTATGAACAGCGCTGTCCTTTGTTATTCATACAGGTGCTGATGTAGCTTTCTTTATATGCCTAACAATGGCAAGCGCTTAACTGAAACCACTTCAACGTTAATGACGTTCTCTAAATAATCAGCTACAAATTATTTTCTGAACAAAAGAGGGCCTCACCAACTGGGCACCGGAGAGAGGGTCTCATTAATTTGGCATTTACATCTGGTTTTTTTTTTCTGTTTGCTCTATAAGCAGACGGTTCCGTACAGAGTCACGTTCTCAGAGTTGTACATGTACACTTGTTCCTGTAGTAATTGCCGTCAATTAAAACTCTGGAAGCCAAAAACCAGCGACAGGTATGATACTCAAACGCTGGAGACGAATTAAATGTGACAAAGATTCAGCTTTCGAAACTAAACCTCGACTATACCAAAGCAATATCTTTTTTGCCTGTTTTTTTAACGAGTTTGATTAATCATCTATTCTTTTAGCGAAATGATCAGGTCATTTCCCAAGGGAAAGAAACCTTTTAATTACAGAAAATGAATTCTGAATGAGTGTCGTGTTTTTTTCTCATAATGAAGAATGCTTTCAAGAAAGAAACGTTACGTTCGCTACCTTCGCTCTTTAAACAACGAAGAGAAAGCGAAAAAATGGTCATCGTTTCTTGCGAGACTCACCTGGTTTTTCCTTTTCTCCGGCAGTCAATTACTTTTAATAATTTAAAACCCTTTGCTTTTAGACTTTTGATTGTAAATTCTAATGAAACTTAATTTGATGGTTGATTGGAGGCATCTGCCAAACTCCAGCATTTTATTTACTGTTCTGTCCATTTTGAAATAAGCTATATATGTACGCATATATGCATTAATGTATCGGAAATGATTCTGAATTTTATCATTGGGTTCAGCATCGATCTTTTTAAATGATCACACGGCTGAAATTAATTCACTTCTTTCGAATGGGTATAATTACAGAGTGCCGTCAAATAGAGCTCAAAAGTAATTTACCGCATGTTTGTTTGATTTACAAGCGGAACTTGCTTGAACGATTTATTAGCTTTCAGTCAAGGAAAAAATATATATTTTTATTAACGCGGCCTAAATCGTGGGCTAAATTTCATGGCCATGAATTAATATCAACATGAACAACTGTTTTTAAATTTTTGTTGACATTCAAGCACGTACTTTAACATTGGTGGGTTTGCCTTTATTTTTGTAGATGCGGCATCGATTTTTCAGGGTTTCTTTTCTTGTCCTCAAAAGTGAACTTCCTCGACGAAGATGACAGATGAAGATGTTAGCCAGGATCGAGCAACTTTTAACAATTGACAAGCTTTTTAACTGCTTATTTTTACCTGAACTGCAGAGAAACAGAAACCACGAAAACAATTGTGGATTGAAATTTACCATGTACCGATACTGAGGACTGTATTTTGATCAGAGCAAGGTTGTTATCATAGGTCATTGCCGAAGATCCAAAGTCTCCTAAACTCGAGCAGGACAAATTTTTCGCAGCTTTGTGCTGTAACGGTTGTATAACGACATTTGAAAACAAGAATTTAACGATTTTTTTCGGCTAGATGATACTTTTTTCATTGTCAATGCACATCTTTTTCTTAGCGATTTTGTCCAGTACTTAAATGGACGGTAAAAATAAGCCCAAATAAATTGTAAAATTTTAAAATCCACAAAACAATGTAAAATTCATTTTTTATTTGTTTGTGATTTTCTTCAATTTCCTGTCGTAAAATATTTTACATTTTCCTTACAGTATGTAAATTTTGACCAAACAAGGATTTTAAACGTAAAAACGAAAGCTATATACGAAATACTATAAAAGATTTCCCGTTGTCAGAGCAATCGCGCGCGCTCATAAAAATATCGAAAGCAAGACGCAATTATATTGCCAAAAATGCGTTAGTTAAAAAGTATGAAACTAGTTTGCACCTGTTTTTAAGCTGATGGACTCTCAGAGTGAACTTATCTAATTCGTTTTTAAATATAATTTGCTTCCTTGTAATAGATAAACCCATAACTGAAGCATTGTCAGATATGCCTCAAAAGTAATCTACCGCAGTGTTTTTACTTAAAGCTTTTCATTAAATCATAAAATATCGTAACTTAGATTTCGTGCCATTCGGGACCTCACTGTTAATTGACAATTTAAAATTGTATTCACAATGATGACCAATGATAATCAGGATGTCCGGCTGAAATTCTAAGGAAGTCTAATCAATTTGTCTAGTCTTGTTTTCTTTAACTGCAAAAGTTGACGTCTTTTTTGACAAAGATAGTGTCATTGTTAGCCAAAATACAGCATTGTTTTCTTTTAATTAATCAGGCCTGCCTATCCGGATACGTTTATGAACTACTTGAACTAAGCAACAACAGATATAGCGAATATATATTGACTGAAATAGTCACGTACGGGATCCAAATCAAAAGCATCGCCGGAGATCAACTTTAACGATAGGGCACGTTCGTTGTGACTCAGAGTAAACGAAAGTTGAAATTCTTTTTTAATAGACGTAATGTCGTCTCATGTTTTACTCCAAAATTGTGGCAAGACATACTTTCTTCACAGTTTGGAGGCGGTTATAACATCATATTTAAAAATCTTTTGAATGCACAGGTTCACATACACGACAAAAAAAAAGGAGACAAAAACGTACAAAACTGGCAAACGCGGGCTGTTTTATTGAGGGCAATATTTCGACTTACAACATGACTCTTTCTCAAGGTTTTGAGAAAGACTTGTTTTGATTATCCTATTAAAATAAAAAAAAATTGCCCGTGGGTCGACAACTTAAGACGTATGTCAAAAAAAAGGCCAAAAAAGAAAGAAAAGAAAAAACGCTACTCAGTTCCAGCAAAATGCTTTTTGATGTTGTTGCTACAAGCTACATTCGCCAAAGATATCAATATAATAAAGGCTTCATTTGCCATGCAACTTCACAAGAAATGTCACAACAGTCCACTTTGTCTACACTAAAATTTAAATTCGTTTTACATATATAAATCATCGCTCTTCCTACCGTCAAAAACTTATTGATTCCCTTATTATAGGTCGTTGCGGAAAAAAGAAAATTTTAACGGACCTTTGAGTTGCTCTGAGCCACTAATGTTAACTTCCTACAATCCGATTCCAAACACGCAGATCAAAATTATTCAACCGGTTATCTCACTTTCTTTTTCCTGGGCATGTAATTGGGAGTTAGTCGATATGAAAGAAAGCGAATGTAACGTAGGGTTTATGTTGGTTGAAGGTTACATATTCCCTCCCTAGTCTCTGCCAGTCGCAGACGAACGCGCCAAACAGCCAAGGGCCTGGAAATGACTCTTGAGCATCGTCCGTCTAATACGAGAATCCCGAGTATTCGTGTGAGATTAGGGACGAAACAATATTTTTTTCAGGGGGGGGGGGGGGGGG